ATCCCCCACCACCAACAGGTGAGGGCTTGCCTGCCAGGTGGGGCATGAAGCATGGAGGACAATTTTCACCCTCTGTGTCCCCCACTGCCGATGGGCAAGTGCTGACCTGCCGGGTGAGGAGGGACAGGTCACATGACGCCAGGCCCCCTCAATGTGGGGGGCAAGTTGGCACCCCTGCCAGAATCTCTTTTTTTTTATAAAATTTTTATTGGTTTTAGAAACTTTTTACACAAAAAAAACAAACAAACACCAAAAATGACAAACATACACGTATAGTTTCAAACATATTTTCATAAACTTCTTTCCTTTGACTTCCCCATACCCCCCCTCTCTGCATCCCAATGTCCAAAGTTCAACTAGCAACTCCCAATTGTTACTTTCCAATCTCTGTCTTCCTAGTCCTTTTTTACATTTCTAACCTTATATCCCTGTATCCCTTTATTTCTGAAAACCACAACATTTTAGCATTCATTAAGTTTATAGTAGTCCTTAAGATAACTTTTAAATTTTCTCCATTCTTCTTCCACCGTCTCTTTTCGTTGGTCACGGATTCTGCCTGTCATCTCGGCCAATGTCATATAGTCCATCACTTTCATCTGCCATTCTTCCAAAGTGGGTAGATCTTGGGTCTTCCAATACTTTGCGATGAGTATTCTTGCTGCTGTTGTAGCATACATAAAGAAAGTTCTATCCCTCTTTATCACCAATTGGCCGACAATGCCCAAGAGAAAGGCCTCTGGTTTTTTCGAGAAGGTACATTTGAGTACCTTTTTGATTTCATTATAGATCATTTCCCAGAAGGCCTTAATCTTCGGGCATGTCCACCAAAGGTGGTAGAAGGTACCTTCAGTCTCTTTACACTTCCAACATTTGTTATCGGGCAAATGATAAATTTTTGCCAGCTTGACTGGGGTCATGTACCACCTGTAAATCATTTTCATTATGTTTTCTCTTAAGGCATTACATGCCGTGAACTTAACACCGGTGGTCCATAACTGTTCCCAGTCAGCAAACATAATGTCATGACCAATGTCTTGTGCCCATTTAATCATGGCTGATTTCACCGTTTCATCCTGTGTATTCCATTTCAGCAACAAGTTATACATTCTTGATAAATTCTTAGTGTTGGGTTCTAACAGTTCAATCTCTAGTTTTGATTTGTCCACTTGAAAGCCAATTTTCCTGTCCTGTTTGAAAAGCTCCATTACTTGGTAGTATTGAAGCCAGTTTTGTACTTTATCCTTCAATTTGTCATAGCTTTGTAATTTCCACTTATCTCCATCCTGTTCCAAAATTTCCCAATACTTCGGCCATCCGACCTCCATATTGAGTTTCTTTACTGCTTTAGCCTCGACTGGTGAGACCCATCTAGGGGTTTTGTTTTCCAACAGATCTTTATATCTCATCCATACATTAAACAGTGCTTTTCTAACAATGTGATTTTTAAAGGCACTATGCTGCTTAATTTTGTCATACCATAGATATGCATGCCAACCAAAAACATTATTAAAGCCTTCCAGATCCAAGATGTCTGTGTTCTCGAGGAGCATCCATTCCTTCCCCCTGCCAGAATCTCAGTAAGAATCACATTTAGTGTTAGGGACCACCTGAGCTAGAACCAGGGCTCACTGACTCTGTGTACAGGTACAAGTCCTCATGATCAACTGAACGTCGGCATGGACAAAATATGGGTCACCTGACATCTTTGTGACATCAGGTAATTGACAGGTGGGTGGCTCTGCCCAAATGTCAAACTTTGCCCATGGGGATGAGATGATGAGGAAGGAAATGATCCAGTGCACCAGCTAGATCCAGTTCCTCACACCCGGTCTATATAAGGAGCTTTGTGTAAGTTGGGTATGATCAACAATAGCATTCCTTGTTCTGTTCTGTTATTTGCAGTTTGAGGCTCAGGGAAAGCCTGGGCAGAAAGGTAAGCATTCACAGTTGTGCATTCCTTCCACATTCTTTCTTTCTTTCTTTCTTTCTTTCTTTCTTTCTTTCTTTCTTTCTTTCAAGTGCCAGAAACAAAAAAAGCAAGCTTAAGCTTATATTATCAAATGATCACCTGATTGATCACCTGATTCACCCCACCATATGACCATGCATCTCATTTCCAATCACCTGGTCAAGATTAACTTGCCGTTATCGAGATCTGACACCGATTGCATTAAACGAACTTGGCGGCAATCGATTTCACAACGCTGCTTGTTCCACGTCGTATCAATTTTTTCTTTATTGTATTGAGCCCAGATGTGTGGAACTCAAAAGAGCACGGGTTCCCTATATTTGGTCTCTTAATTTACCGGTAAAAGAATAAGGCTGAATATGTTCCATCAGTTATTAATTTTCTGTCATTTAAACATGAAATGTGCCAGCAACTAGACCTTATTTCGCTTACTGAATGGTATCCTTATTTGAACATTAATCATCAGTTCTGAATTTCATGAACTCCTAATAAAGCTGTAGAGAAAAACATGTCTCTTTGTGTGGGCAACGTTCTAGGACTTGTTATTCCTGCCTGAGGTGCAAGATGAACTGGAGCTTCCTCGGCTTATGTATGTCACAGTGTTGGTAGAGTTGCCAGCAAACCCCTCCAAACCAGCAAATTCTCTCCTTTCGGGTATTTTCAAAAGGATTAGCGTAAGGAGCTATTTCAAAAAAACACAGCGTCCCCATGCCATTTGTGACTGTTTCGACTGCCAGCACCCAAGACCATGGGTCAGGCTGGCCAAAATGGATATAACACACTGGCAGGGAGAGAGCAGGTTTGGGCCAAAGTTATTATCAAATGGCTGTAAGCCACAGTTCCCTGCTGCTCCAATCTGCACATGGCGCAAGAAAGGCCAGCTTTTCCCCAGGACTCAAGATAACAAGGTAGCCCCACGACTATGAAAGCTCCATGGGCCTACCACAGCCTCAAATCATTCATTTATTATTATTTAAGTCATCGCTTTGCCCCCAAATATCTTGAAGCAGAATGAAATTCAACACTAAAATGTTAATATAACATATATATGTGTGTGTGAGGTAGCCAATAGATCTCAAGCCATAGGTGAATTATGGACAGATTGAGCGAATGAGACCAACAGTGGGTCTAATGGTCAAGAGGGCAGTTTCTGCATGTGCTGTAGAAGGAAGTGAGGGGCAGATGGGGCTTGTCAACCTGGGAAGGTAGCCCATCTAGGAGAAGGGAAACTCTGATTCTAAGACGGTTGGATGGTGCCCTTCTATGCCTCCTTCCAGCAGGTCTTGCAGCCAAGCTGGTACCAAACATATTGCTTTGCTAATAATAATAATAATAATAATAATAATAATAATAATAATAATAATTATTTATTATTTATGCCCCGCCCATCTGGCTGGGCTTCCCCAGCCACTCTGGGCGGCTTCCAAAAAATATTAAAATACTGTAATACATCAAACATTAAAAGCTTCCCGACCCCAGTCAAGCTTGCAAAAATATACCATTTGCCTGATAACAAATGTTGGAAATGTAAAGAAACTGAAGGAACGTTCTTTCACCTTTGGTGGACCTGCCCTAGGGTTAAGGCCTTCTGGGAAATGATATATAATGAACTGAAAAAGGTATTTAAGTATACCTTCCCTAAGAAACCAGAGGCCTTGCTTTTGGGCATTGCCGGCCAAAAGGTGTTAAAGAAGGATTATATTTTTTTTATGTATGCAACAACAGCAGCAAGGATACTTATAGCTAAATACTGGAAAACCCAAGATTTGCCCACGCTGGAAGAATGGCAGATGCAACTGATAGACTACATGGAATTAGCAGAAATGACTGGCAGAATCCGGGACCTGGGAGAAGAAGCAGTGGAAGAGGATTGGAAGAAATTTAAGGACTATTTACAAAAACATTGTAAATTGTTTGAATCTTAAGAAGGTGCAAGAGTAAAAAAAAAAAAAGGTGGCACCAGTAAATTGGGTGACAAGAATTTGAGAATAGATGAAGTTTGAGGAAAAAATGAACTGGTTTTTTATGTTAATATTGTGATTTAATTAAATTTTTATGTTTTTGGGATATAAATGTAAGTTTAGAGACATAATATTGGAAGTATATATTTAAGGTATTGAAACGAGGTAATAATTTGCTGTTTAGAACTTTAAAAAATTGGAAAGCAGGAGCGAAAAAATGTGAGGAAGTCCAAAAGCGAGGAAAGTAAGAATTTGATCTCGATGTTTTATTTTATCTGTTTTCTTTTTTGTATGTTTTTTCTCTTGTTTTTCTTTTTCTTTTGTCTGTTTATTGTATGTTTTAAAACCTTGAATAAAAATCTATAAAAAAAAAACAAACATTAAAAGCTTCCCTAAACAGGGCTGCCTTCAGATGTCTTCTAAAAATCTGGTAGTTGTTGCTCTCTTTGACATCTGGTGGGAGGGTGTTCCCTTTGGACCACATCTGCAAGGCTGAGAGGGGGGCTTCATCATCTGGGCAGCCCAAGACCTCCATACACACTGACCAGGCTTGCACCCTGGGAGGTCACTTTGGTGCTGCAGCAGTTTGACTTCACCCTTGGAGGCACAACCCCATGTTTCTTGAGACAGATGGATGTCATCAACAGCAGTGTGTGTGTGTGTGTGTGTCTACATGTATGTATGATATGTATTAAAATATACATAAAACCTAAATAAATTCAACAACAGCCAATGAACATTGTCAGGTCTAGACACAATATCTAAAATGGGCTAATAACCAAGCTGGGGAAAGGCTGAGCAAACAGGCTTTGTTTTTAACAGCCTTTGGAAGCAGCCGTACATTAAAAACAAAATAAGAGTCCTGCTGGATCAGGCCAAAGGACGTTTGCTGAACCTTTGCTGCTTACAAGCTGCCTGTAGGCATCTGGTTGGACACTGCGAGAACAGGATATTGCCTACAGGGAGCCTGCAAGCAGCAGAAACCTGAAACAGAAGCACTCCTCTTAGGAGGAACAATACACTGCAGATCTCACTGGTTTACTGCATAAAACCAATAGGCAGGCACTAACCTAGGGTCCAGTAGGTCACTGCTTCCAGATGTGAAGGACTGCTGCAGATGGCATGTATATACATAAAGTGAATCATCAACTCTGCCAGCCACCACCAAAGCAAGATACGAACGGAGCCCCTGATGAAAACCCAGAGGTTGAACTTCAAACTGCAGGTTTCTTGTTTATTCATCTGTATTAGAAATAATAATGACAACGATGATGATGATAATGAATGGTGATGATAACAATACTGTATAGAAAAGATGGGACATTTAGGCTGCAATCCTATATACACACTTACCTGGGAGTGAGTCCTACTGAACTCAGTGGGACCCACTTCTGAGCAGACATGCAAAGGATTGCCCTGTTAATTAAGACAAGCAGTTTCATTTTTAAATATTTTAAAAGGTATCTCTGGATAGTAAAGTACTGAATGTATTGGGCTGGCTGGTGCTCATGGAGGCTTGTATAGTAGTCTCAGTTTAGCTGACAAATTTTATTACAGTGGTACCTCTGTTCTCAAATTTAATCCATTCCAGGAGTCCATTCGACTCCCAAAATGGTTTGAAAAACCAAGGTGTGGCTTCTGATTGGCTGCAGGAGCTTCCTGCACTCAATCGGAAGCCACGGAAACCGCATTGGAAGTTCGGCTTCCGAAAAACGTTCACAAACCGGAACACTCACTTCCGGGTTTGCAGCATTCGGGAGCCGATTTGTTCGGGGGCCAAGCTGTTTGACTACCAAGGTACCACTGTATATGTATTTGAAGTGTAATATTAAGGCCATTATTGAAGTGTGGAGTAATTAAAAACCTGAGACATGTGGATAGCACTTCTGTAAATAAATGGGCACCAAGACCAGACTTTCCCAACCTGGTGCCCTTCTGATGCTTTGAACTACAACTTCCATCAGCCCCTGCGGTAGTATAAAGTACCTGGAGAACACCAGGTTGTGTGTAGACCAAATGTGGGGAACCTAGATGTTTCAAACTACCACTCCCAGCAGCCACACCAAGCATGGCCAATGGTTGGAAGTGTAGTTCAGCAACAACTGGAAGGTTAAAGGTTCCCCACCCCTGATATAAATCATGGTGTGTGATGGGGGGCTCACACGCGGCATTTTGCTGTTTATACCCATATGATTATGACACACTGTGGGCTCTACTTCTTGTAACCAATTTCCAAACAGAGTAAGCGGGAATCCATCACATTTGAAGTGCTTCTGACATGCTCCTGATCCGAAAACATAAATACTTTAAAGTAAACCAATTTCAACTGAATTTTCCTATGGCCCTTTCTTGTGTGAAATCTACTGCAGGAATGCACTTTTTAAAGTCCCCTTTCCAGTGCTTTATTCTAGAAAAAGAGGTGCCAGAACTCACTACAAACACATCCTTTGTTCTCTTATAATGGCAATGGTGCCCAACTGAGAGAAGCTGGAACTGATTTCCTGTGAAAAGAAGCCCTGCCCTTTCCTGATCTTGCACACCAGGTTTCCTCAGAGAATCCAATCATATATCGAAGGAGGACCAACCAAGATATTTGTCTAACATTATCAAATCCCCACTTTAAACTCTCATATTTTTTTATAAGTGCCTCATTGACTCACACTAACTCTGGATCACGTACGTCAACCAATGCACTTGTTCTGTTAGTGAAAGGATTTCTGTTTCCACACCTTGGGCCCTGCTCCACAGAGTTGGGGCAAGCCCTGGATCAGGTTCAGGGGGGGTATGGGGAGAGGAGAAGTTCTGTTGCATGGCACAAAGTCATTGCATTGATTGAATGAGTGTGCTCTCTTTACATTGTCAGATTTTTCTAGCATTTTGTTCATTGTTTAAATAGAGTAAGTCTATCAGGATTCCCACGCTTCAAGCTTTATGACGATCTTTGTGTAGTAGTTATGAGTCTGGTTGCGTGGATATGACTTTATATATATATATAAAAAAAACCTGACCAAATTTTTATTCCTTAGTAAATTACTAACACATAACAAAAGCTTAAAAGATTTAGGCTTTCATCCCCCTTCACTTTTATCCGTCTCTCTAATGTCTGCTCACATCATGCAGAGCTGACTCACGTCTCTGAGCATCATGCTTAATCATTCTGCAAAGTTCCCTTCAACCCATAATGGCCGGTAGAATTCGCCTCCCCCACCCCCAAAAGGCATGTGGGATTAGAATAGCCTCAACATCTAGTCTTTATCACCTGTTGGGATAATTGTTTCTGAAAAAGCATTTTGTTCCCTGACCTCTCAGGAAAGAGATTCTGAATGAATAAAGGCAATTAACCATAGAGAAATGTGCTTATTTCCCTTTACACTCAGGATTTGCATTCAGGATTTCAAGCAGGAATAATTAAAATGTTGTTTTGAAATATTAAATTTGGAAAAAGTTGCCTTTATAGGAAGACATTCAGGCAACCCAATAAAGCAGGGAAATGATTCATTCAGAAGTATACTCATGTGTTAACTCATTTTTTGTTCAATGTGTGAATACCACTTTCTATTATTATTATTATTATTATTATTATTATTAAGCACGCCCTCAGGAAACACTGGCCAGCTTACACAAAATATTTTTAAAACACAGTAATAATTAACACCCCCCAAAACCGCCCCCCACCTTCCTTGCATAGAGGCAGCATAAAATAATTTTCAGCCCAGATGTAGGACACAGTTAGAACACCTGGGTTAACAAAAAAAAAAAGCATTTGAAAGGCCTTAATTTGTTTTAACTGATTTTAACAGTGTATTTTTTAAATCTACCCTGGGACCTCATGGTGAAGATAAGGTAAGAAATCTAATTACAATGACTAATAACAGAAAAGGCACAGAAAGGGAGCTTCTTTGGAGAGGCTATTTCCCACGACACAATGAACTATGTATTTTTGCACTCAAGACAATTTTGTCCTCCACAAACAAACTCATTTGATGAGCCCTGATGTGAAGATAGCCAGACCCTACTTAGAGAGCATACACTAAATGGTGGTGGCCCACTTTCAAACTACGGTAGGCCAGAAGGTCAAAAACAAGAACCTCAGGCTGGAGACCATTCTCTTTCTTGCCCCCACCCCTGACTTCTGGATATTATATTCTCTTTTCAGAACTTTGTTGCTGAGAATGGCTTCTCAGGGGTTTGGCAGACTGCAAAATGTTTCTCACAGGGATGCTTTCAAGTTAGTAGGACCTTAACACTAAGAGCTAAGGTAGCTAACATTTCCCTTTTTCTGTATGATTGAGTAATGGTTATTAGTTTCTCCTCAACTATGAGACCTAACCTTTAATGCAGTGTGCTCTCTCGCTCTCTCTTCACAGATTCATGGAAGGTACATTCTCTTTTAAGGAACCGTTACATGCAGAACAGAAGTATAAAACATAAATGGAGTTGCCAGACTAGTTCAGAAGTACCTAACTGATATATATCTACACAGTGGATTTAGCCCAGGCATAGGCAAACTCGGCCTGCCTGATGTTTTGGGACTACAACTCCCATCATCCCTGACCACTTGTCCTGTTAGCTAGGGATGATGGGAGTTGTAGTCCCAAAACATCTGGCAGGCCGAGTTTGCCTATGAATGATTCAGCCTAAATCTCAAATCATCTGAAATTCCGCTATTCATCCCAAAGTTTCCAAGATCTTTCAGGTTTCCTGGTTTTCTTTCTTTCCTTTGGGAAAAAAAATCCAAAATGTCCCTCATCCAAAGATATCAGGAGTGGGAACAATAATGAAAAGTCATAGAAGCAAAATGTAGTCCACCATAAAAGTATAAAAACGGAAAGACAAGGTAAAATCAAACCAATGCAGCTCTTTTAAAATGCCTGAGCCAACAAGGAAGTCTTGCAGCACAATCCAAGCCCAACATCTGTTGTTTGGATTCAACAGATTTTGGGCTCCCTCAGCTGAGCCAGGGATCAGCCATAGCTATTCTCTACAGCAGTGATGGCCAGACTTGGCCCTCCAGCTGTTTGGGGACCACAACTCTCATCATCCCAAGCTAACAGGACCAGTGGTCAGGAGTGATGGGAATTGTAGTCTCAAAACAGCTGGAGGGCCAAGTTTGGCCATCACTGCTCTACAGCATCAAATGTTGCTATACTGGCATAACTCTTTCACTTCAGCTCAACTGGCACAATTTACGCCAGCTTCCTACAGTTAGGACCGCTCTGTTAACCAGGCAATTAAAATACAGTTTGCCCAGTGATCAGCGTCAACAACTTTTCTAAGATTTGGGTTCAACAAAACAGGGGTCTTCTTATACATGGGGGCATCTTATACACGGAAAAATACAGTAAATTTCCCACGTTCCCCATTGACAATCAGGCAGGCTGGCTTATGCACCAAGGGCAGAGAGTCCACAAAGGAGCCTTTCTGGAAGACCAAGTCAGCCTCCAGCACAGGCAAGTCATTCACCTGGCAAAACTCAGCAGCAGCCTCCTCAAGACTGTCGGTGATCTATGATTCTGATTATTTAGTAAGAAACTGTAAACACAGCAGATATTAGACTATAATGTCCAACATGTCACTTGTATAATATGCTTGTTTGCCTGCATGTTTGTTATCTAAAAACTAAGCATTTACCTTCATTCGTGTGTGTGTGTGTGTGTGTGTGTGGTGATTTATACTTCTGAAGTAAATTAAGTATTTGTGGGGAAATAGGGGGGAAAAATCCTCAGTTGTTAAGGGTAAGGGAACGAGGAAACACCTCATTCAGCTAACTTACCATTTCTTTATTTTATTCTTTCCCCTTTCTTTCCTTGCTCTGTTCATCGCTGGGAAATGATTACACAGATGATTGGCTTATTCTCCATAAAGAATGGAAGATTACTTAATAACTCTTATTACATCTTTCAGGGAGCTTGCCGGATGCTTTCACTATTCTGACTCATCTTTAATGACATCTCACTAGCAGCGAATACTTTGAAGAAACTACCATTCTTCAGAGTGCTTGGTGGGGGAGACTGGAAATTTCTGAGCTGCTGCCAATTCAGTGGTGATGCATGCCATTCAGACTTCTATAGGCATGTTGACACATCTGCTTCCTGTTCGAGCACCAAATCATGAAATAAAATATTCATTAAGGCACATCAGCAGAGATTTATCGAGGCCGTAGAGTGTTTCCTTTTAGTGGAAACCGGGCATCGACATTCCTTCAGCAGCTTTTGAAAATCTTTAGTTTGGAGGTAATTTTCCTTTCGTTTTATGGAACTGGTAGAAAGGTGCTTATAGCAGCTGATGTTCCTGCTATAGACTTGCCGATACAGCAGCTGCAAATTCAAGATGAAATGGAATCTCACTAATGCAAGCACACAGGTCTCCACCTTCTCTCGTTTATTTCCTGAGCTGCCGGTTCTTTATTCTATATTGCAGAGATGGAAACCTCAGGCCTGGGGGACCAAATGCAGGTCTCGCTCTCGCTCTCTGGCCCTCAGGCCTCTTCCTAGGCTACACACCCTTTAGAGACACATCCCTCAGCAGCCCTTGTCTTTTGGAGTGCCTTTGCCTGGCTGGAATAATACTACTAATACTAATAATTTATTATTTGTACCCCGCCCATCTGGCTGGGTTTCCCCAGCCACTCTGGGCGGCTTCCAACAAAGATTAAAAATACATCAAAATGTTGCACATTAAAAACTTCCCTGAAATAGCCTTCAGATGTTTTCTAAATGTCAGGGAGTTGTTTATATCTTTGACATCTGATGGGAAGGTGTTCCACTACCAAGAAGGCCCTCTGCCTGGTTCCCTGTAGATTTGCTTCTCGCAGTGAGGGAACCGCCAGAAGGCCCTCAGAGCTGGACCTCAGTGTCCAGGCTGAACGATGGGGGTGGAGACACTACTGGGCCGAGGCCGTTTAGGGCTTTAAAGGTCAACACCAACACTTTGAATTGTGCTTGGAAATGTACTGGGAGCCAATGTAGGTCTTTCAAGACCGGTGTTATGTGGTCTCGGCGGCTGCCCCCAATAACCAGTCTAGCTGAACTCTGTGTCACTGAACTCTGATAATGCTTCCTGTTGGCTTGGACGGAGCATAGAGAGATTGAAGAATCTAGGCTACCATAGAATGGTAACACTGGCATTCATTGCTCCCCACAACGAACCCAAATGGCAAGTGAGCCACAGAATGTTGCCCAGAAGGGATTATGGCCTGTTGACTCATGTGGTCTACTAAGACAAGAGATTGCTTTTAATTGCTTAATAGATAGAAATTTAATTGTCCCCAAATTTAATCCTCAATATCTCCAGGCAGGGCTGAGGAAAGCTTTGTGTGAAACCCTCGAGAGCTGCACAAACAGCCTATTAGCAACACCTGTTAGCACCTAATAACAACAAATATTATCAGTGAAGCACATAAATTTTAATGCACCTTCCCCCAAAATTCAAGATTTGTCTGCACCTGTTGCAGAAACAGGACCGCCAGGCTGTGTCCCACTCTCCCCAGCTTCCATCCTGTAGAGAGCACTGTCATGTAAAATTATGTAAATACGCCAATGCTTAAAACATTTATCCACTTAAAATCTCATCAGCGAGAATTTTTGAAGTAAGGAAACATGCATTTTTAAGGAGATAATGAGTACAGGAGTTCAGCACGATCTGAAAAGAGCTTTCTGGCTTTGCTTCCCAAAAGGCTAAAAAATCCTTATGATTAAATGACAATCTCTTTCAAGGCAGGCAAGAAAATCTTATCACCTCCTATTTGGAACACACGCAACCAGCTCCCACGACACCTCTGACACGTCCCCAAAATTCAAAGCTATATTCCATCGAAATTGGCCTAGATCTGATGGCCAAGAAAAGAGGTAAGCTTTCCTGGATCTGATGGCCCATTCTAAAAATCAACATGATGAATTCTCACAGTTGAACTAACTTAGTAATTTGCGAGCTGCACACTTAGGGAGGAATTCAATGTTGCCCTGTGCAAAAATTTCAGTTTGCCAGACAGAACAATCCCGCCCCCCTCCCCCGCGCACATGCTGTTCTGGGGGTTCTCTCAACCCTCCCAAGACAATTTCAGGGGGTGCACAGGGGGAAGAGGGAAAGTCCCATTGCATAAGCAGAAGCCCTTGCACGGAGCTTCCACTGACCAAAACACATTAGGTAACTCCTGCCCTTAGGGGTTGGGGACCTGACATTTTGCCCATAGACTTTTCCTAATTATAGAGCTGGACGGGATCTTGTAGGTCACCCAATCCACCTCCTGCTGAGTGCAGGGAATCAAGAGGAACCCTTTTGGCCGGGCAGGGCAGATCATTATCTCCCCTCCCCCATCCCCCAGGCCAACTCTGACAAGTGGGTGGGGCCCATCAATCATCCCGTGCCATGAGAGTTCCATCCTGCTCTCTGCAGGGGTCTGCTTCATGACAGGGAATGTGCTGGTGAACATAAAATATAATAATAATAATAACAATAACAATAGTGAATTGAATATAAGGAATGAGGTGAATTAGAGAAAAATATGTAATATCAAGCAGCAATGAGGGGAAGGAGGGAAGCATCTCATACGAAGAGCAGGAAGTCAACTTTTTTAGAAAGTTGTATTAAAGTTGATGTAGTTCGACACTGATTTGTTAAATATTTGGAAAACTAATAAATATTTTTGGCAAAAAAAAATAATGTGCTGGTGAAGCAGCAGCCAGCAGGCACAAACTCTTCACTCATCAGCTGAGGAGCAGAGGGTTCAATCCTGCTCTCTGCAGGGGTCACTCACAGTTGATTGGCAGGTGCAAGGGATGTTGAAGAAATGGCCCCCTGGGCCAAACCTCCACCCTGTGGGTCATCCACATCCACCCCCTGCTGGGGTCTCCAGGTAGGGTTGGTAAAGATTCCCTGTCTGAAATCCTGGAGAGCTGCTGTCCATCATTTCGAACAATACTGAGCTAGATGGACCAACAGCCTGACTCGGCATAAGGCAGCTTCCTATGTTCCTAACCCAGGACAAGAGCATCTCCAACAGATTGCGGTCCAATCTGTTCTTGAGAACTTGCAGTGAGGGGAAGCCACCAACCCTCTAGATAGCTGGTTCCTTTGTCAAACTGCTCTTACGGTTAAAACATTTCTCCTAATACTCAACTGAAATTTCTGCTGTAGCTCTGAAGCCCATTAGATGTAGTCCTGCAGCAGTAAACAAGTCTTTGTCTTCTTTCCATGTGACATCCCTTCCACGCCACTCGCCATCTTTGCTGCCACCTCTCAAAATTTGATAAGGATTCCCCAAACCCTTCACCTAAGTCCCAGGACAGAGTCTATGAAGTGCCACACTAAAACAGACACCCTCGCTCTAGCTGCTGAGGAACCACCGATGATCACTCTGTTGAGTATTTCCTCCCAACCGGCTGTTAATCAACACTTAAGCAGTTTGTTAACCAGATTATCCTGGGGAGCTTTGTCAATGCTTTGCTGAAATCAAGATGAATTGTATCCACCGTATTCCCACAACCCATTAAGCTAGTAAAGTGGGGAGGAGGGGGGAATAGATGAGTCTGGATTTATTCTTGTGGCTGCCTTCAGCTCCTTTTGCACCTTGATATTGCAAAGACAATTTTGAATCACAGGATTCTTTGATCCAGCCAGCAGGCCCTGCCAGTGGCTACACTGGTCTGAGGCCATGCCAAAGCTCCTACTTGCATGGATCCACAGTCAGTGTGTTTAGCATGCCACAAAAGCAACGCAACTCCCAAGAGGCTGGGAATCATGTAAGTGGTAAGATCAATGTGGTGTCAGAAAACCATGTGGCCAGAGGCCTTCTGATGAGTCCTGACTGGCATAGGCATGAGAGAAAGCTATGGCAACAAAGCAGGTACATATGTTGCTATGAAGTAGGGTTTTGCCAAAATTGGGTCCCCAGCTATTGCTGGACTACAACTCCCATCATCCCTAACTAGCAGGACCAGTGGTCAGGGATGATGGGAATTGTAGTCCAAAAAGAGTTGGAGACCCAAGTCTGGGAAACCCTGTTATAAAGGGACTTAAGAACCAGCAGCTATGAGCAGTACAGAAATCGCTATTCTGCCAGGATCAAATTATTATTATTATCATCATCATCATCATCACCATTATATCAATCACCTTCTAAACCACTGTCTCAAGGCCATTTGCATATAAGATACCAAAAAGTGCTGTCACCTGTTTATAAAATCCATCGAAGGTAATAATGGGTCCGTTGTGAAAGACAGGATAATAGAACACATAAGCCAGCATCCAAAGGAATGGGTGATGAGTCATTTCAGCAGACCTGTACCAGCAGTACTCTAGACCAAAGCTTGTGTAATAGAGGCAGCGGACAGTCAGGGTGAAAAGAAGCAAGTAGTATTCACTTTCACTGGCATACCAGCCTCTCTGTAGAATAAAAGCAGATCAAAAATTATGTGAAGTATCATCCACACATCTAAGGAGATAAAGAACATCGCGGATTCAATGCCACACAACCACAAACTAATCATTTTTACAATACTCGGTGTTTATATAACTTTGGCTCTAGTGCTCAGTGTATTAGGTACTACTATCTAAAATGCTACTTTGCTACTTTATTGAATATACCAAACACTGGTGCCATCTTTGGAGGGCCCTAGATGCCTGAGCACCCACAATATTTTGACTCTGGGTGCCCACCTGCTGCCTAGCTGCTTTCTGGTGCCCTGGTGGCGAATAGACTGAGGCCTTTGTCTTCACCACAGGGCCTCTGTTGGGACCTTTCTGTGGTTGCAACGGGCCTCGCTGGGCTTCCCCATGGCCACAGCGGGTCCTGTTGGACCCCCTTCTGCAGCGTGATGTCACACCCAGGCACCCACAAAGTTGGGCAGAACCCAGTGTGTGTGATACCAGAAACTACATGATATATAGCAAAATCCATACGAATCAGCAGAGTAGGTACCGCCTCGGGCAGATTTGAGCTACCATCAAATGTTGGCAGGTTGTTGGGTATTTTACCAGGGAACACAATTTGAATCTTCTGTGTCAAACACCCAACATCCAGAGTGCTGCTATGCCTCCCCATCTGAACAGAGCAGAGCACAAGCTCATATACCGTATTTTTTGCTCCATAGGACACACTTTTTCCCTCCTAAAAAGTAAGGGGAATGTGTGTGCATCTTATGGAGCGAATGCAGGGGGGAGGCAGGCAGGAAAAGCTCCACGCGGCTCTTGCGGGCCTTTCCCCAGGAGGGAGAAGGGACTGACACGGCCAGTCAGTCCCTTCTCCCTCCTCGTAGAAAAGCCCACAGGAGCCGCATGCTCCTTAAAGGGTGCTTTTGTGGGCTTTTGTGGGAGGTGGGGGAATTGCCATAGCCGTGCGCAGCCTCTCCCTGCCGGACAGGCTGCGCGTGGCTATGGCAGAAGCCAAGACAGCCAGCAGGATGGATCCCGCTGGCTGTCTTGGCTTCTTTGCTCTTTGGGGCGGAGGGGGGGGGACCTGGGCTTCCCCTGGCAGCTCCGAGAAGCTCTGGGAGAAGACAAGCTATTTTTTTCTTGATTTCCCCCTCTAATAACTAGGTGCGTCTTATGGTCCAGTGCACCTTATGGAGCGAAAAATACGGTACTATATGTATAAAGTTATATAGGAGCCGTTGCATGCTCTCTAACAGCACCGAAAATCATTCTCTATTTAGGGAGAGAAATCAATATTGAGATAAGGCCTGAAGAGGATGAAAATTAAGGCAGAAATAATAAACCCAGCGGCACAAGACCCACATGCACAAAGGTCTGTAACATTATTCAGACACTTTCTGTTTCCTGCTATGGGCTGTATACCTCTGGGGAAAGAATCCACAAAAAAGCAAAAGGAGAGCTGCATTATCGTGCACATTTGGCCTAAAACTCCTGTCTGCCTTTATTAAAAAAAGAAAAACCCAAAAACCCTCCAGTTTGCTGAGCAATTAAGACAAACTCTGCCCAGGACTGTAAAAGGAAGATCAGAGATCAGATGCTGTTGGAGATAAGCGCTTTAACAAGGGAAGTGAAAATTTCAATGGCACAGAGAGGGCTCATTTGGGCAAATTGCATAACCACTTCCATCTGCATGGGGGTTCCGTTCCCAGCCCCCGCATGTGTCCACAGAGCATGCATAAACCTGCTCTGCCCCGTTATTCCCCTGCTATACCCCATTCTGCCCCCGTTCTTCCCCCTCCTGGGTCCAAAAGGACCTGCCCATCAGCGGTGACATGTCAACTGGATGCACGCAAAACCGTTGCTGCCTGTAGTTTCACGGATACAGCTTCCAGAAAGGTTTGTACCAGAAATCTAGCATAACATTTTATATGATAAGAACATAAAGTGGAAGTTTGGACTTCCTCCTCAAGGCAGACTTTCTCAGGCAAAGAACACAACATAAAGAATTGATTTCATTATGACCAACTTGACCTACTATTAGACCTGGCCAAGATTTGCTCACAGACTACTGGTTACCCACCCCTGTGATAAAGGGTACCAGATGAATGGTATCTGCACAGAAGAGAAGAGAACAAGACGAAGAGCATGGAAATGCTCTTTGGATGACCCCAGAGGTTGATAACGCACATTGGTGTTGGCCCCGGGCAAGGTAATACAAAACAACTCTTGGTGTCTTTAGAGAGACGGATTTCATATTATGGTGGAAAAGCTGGAGGCACAGGTCATTGAAAGCAGTGCTAACAGCATAAATTAGTCCCAGTGGGTTGCATGGGAAACACTCCACCAGTACAGTACTAACGTTAAAATAGCAAAAATCACTGCTTCATTGTGAGAAACCCTCATTTCCTTGCCCATTTTCAAACGTGGGATAGGTAGGTAACAGGAACAAAGGCATTAGCCAGCAGCTGTAAGCTTAAAGTCAGAGGGGATTTCATTGGTACAATGAAAGTTCTGAGTCAGAGAAAACCAAAAAACTTATCTAGAAAAAGTATCAGGTTGGCAATGGGAGTCACGACAGATTGACATTTCCTTAATTGTTTCCCGTTGAAACTTAAGAAAAATGATCCCTATATGTCTAGAAAGCAGTTTTTGACTCTGCGTCCACCAACCACAGACCATTGCTGACAACAGTGAAAGGAGCAGGAGAATGCAGAGACCTCATAAAAACAGAGTGGTACTAGGTTTGTGGGGCCGATTACTGGATGAGAGAACACTCAGGCACTTATTATCTCCATTATCCTGCTGATTCGAAAGGTCAGCACGACCACAGAATATGGAACCTTGCAGAAATATAAAAAGGAGACATGGATCTGGAATTGAATACTTCTACAAGTCTTGTCTTCATTTTATGAAATCATGAATCACACTATGAAAGGCCCAGCTTGACAAAGAAAATGATGATTAGGGTATTTAAAAGAAAAGTCTACTAACAGAGCTAATATGTGAAGCATGAAAAAACCAAAGTTCGGAAGCCAACGAACCATGCCTTCAAACTGTGGTTTGTTGGCAGTAAGCAAATCATAGTTAAGCCATTAGGCAGAATTCAGGCAGTAGAGTTTGCCTGTCCAGGGTGGAGTCCATCCCTAGCATGAGTTACTGTTCTAGACATAAGCGTCACCCTCTCCACACTGCTATAAAACCCCTCAAAGAACCCCTGCTCTTTTTGGAGATAGCAGCAGCTTGGTCATAAATTTATTGTTCAGTTTGTTGCACTAGTTCCTCTGCTGGTTGTTTGGGACACTGGTTTTTGTTTTATTGGATGCTGTATTCAGTCATTTTTGAAATCACCAAGAGATTTTATGGACAGCATTATAGAAATCTGAATAAATAACAGCAACAATGCTGATAACACTTCTTCCTACAGGTGCACCTAATGCAGAGAAACAGGAGGAGTGCACAGAACAGCAGCAGAGGCAAAGCCAGAACAGTACATCATACAGAGAGACAGTGGCTAACCCCCCTTCTTAGGATGGGTACTTTGAGCTAGTTTGCCCTAGCTCATGCTGGAAATTCCTGAAGTGAGAGGGGTGACTATTCTTTAAACCTTAAGCTTTCTTATAAAAGAAGATTCCTCAAAATGCACATTTTCAGAACCAAATTGAAAAGTGGCAATTTCAACAATAAAGCGCTCGGTATGAATGAATTTAAACAAATAAATCACAGTATTATTTTTTATTTAAAAAAACCAACCAGCTACCTTTATTTCTTCCAGGGCAGACACACGCAAAGTTGACAACAGAAGCAACGAGCCCAGCCACATCAGAAAGGGGTTCTTAAATTGAGCCACTCCGTACGAGAAAGTTACATGTAGAAAAATCACTGCCAAACCATTGGTACCAAGCAGAAACCAACAGGCTGCCATGCCATACACCATCAGAAACCAGGGTTTGTACTAAAAAGACAGGGAGGACAAAAATGAATGAAAACACTCACTTTCGGTTCAATGCACGACTCAAGACTCAGCTCCGGAGGCAATTCAGTTTTGTATCAGTTTGTACAAGGGATGGGATAGGAGTACAATTTGATCCCCTGCTAAATTTGCCCGTTTGCCCTCTGACAAAGAAATGACCAGTCCATAATTTTAATAGTACAGTGGTACCTCACAAGACGAATGCCTCGCAAGACAAAAAACTCGCTAGACGAAAGGGTTTTTTGTTTTTTGAGCTGCTTCGCAAGACGATTTTCCCTATGGGCTTGCTTCGCAAGACGGAAACGTCTTGCAAGTTTGTTTCCTTTTTCTTAACACCGTTAATACAGTTGCGACTTGACTTCGAGGAGCAACTCATAGAACGCGGTGTGGTAGCCTTTTTCGAGGTTTTTAAAGACTTTGGTATTTTTGAAGCTTTTCCAAAACTTTCCCGACACTGTGCTTCGCAAGACGAAAAAAATCGCAAGACAACAAAACTCGCGGAACGAATTAATTTCGTCTTGCAAGGCACCACTGTAGGTTTATTGTAGCTGTGAGAGACAGAATAACAACAGGAAAAACCCCAGAAACCCATCAATCAGAGATTGATGTGCATTATAATGAGTGAAATAAGTGTTTGATCCCCATTAACCAGCTAGATGTCAGGCTACCTGGTATCTTCACTGTATGTAACAAGCTGAGATTACAAGCACCCACTGCAAGGGAGAGGTCTTACCTGTAATCCCAGTTTGTTACAGTACCTGTACAAAAGACATATGTCAGCAGAAGCAATCAATCCAGCAGATTCCAAAGTAGCCACCATGACCAAGACCAAAGAGCTGTCCAAGGATGTCAGGGACAAGATTGTAGACCTGCGCAAGGCTGGACTGGGCAAATTTAGCAGGGGATCAAATACCTTTTCCCCCTCACTGTAGATTTGGAACCAACCCATTAGTCACACTTAGGTTGCGGCGCTTGGAAAAATGTCAGCGCCTGCCTTTATTACAAAAACACAGTGTCGACCTGTAGCATATAACAGAGACATCTGTGGAAAGTGTGTGATATTTAATTTCAAGCTACTGTACAACCACTTCCCCTCAAATATTTAAAATAGGAAGAATTCTTGAAGGAATAATTGAAAATAAAAGTGGCTCACTTCTAATGAATTCCATGCTGAGCAGTGTTGCAGGCTCTCTGTTCCATAAGATTATTAAAACTAGAGAGGGGAAGAACCCACTGAATTGTGGCACTAAAACAGGCGAGAAAAGGGAATCCATGCATTTCTACAAGGACTGGGGAAGAAATGGGTTCATGTGGCTAATTTCCCCACCTACATAAATAAGAGAGTTTTTCTTCTTCTTTTCTTTGCCTTTGCAAATGTGGTTGTTTCTGAAAGACTAAGGGCTTCTTCTTCTTCTTTGGTTAATATTTCAAACATGCATCCAATAAAGATATATTTATGCCTCATTTCTGCTTAAATTTTGAAGCCCTTACAAAAATTGGCAGTTGCAGAGGATAGTTTTCTTCGCAGTTGGAATTGCTACAGTGGTTCTTTCTTAGCTTCAAAGAGTGGCTAAGAAACAGACACCTAGACAGGCCTCTTGAAGACTTCCAAAGAACAGCTGAAAAACATTGAATATTATCTGAAATGCTGTTCCCCTCTGCTAGGTCACACAATGTCCCTCGACTCTACTTAGAGCAGCACTGGAACATTATGTGCAGCTCTTAACCATGTCTTTTTACTGACTGAGTTGTAATTTTTGATTTATTTATTTTTAACCATTTCACATTTCAGAGTGTGTGGCTGATGTAGCATTTGCTATCCACCCCACCACCGCCATGTTTTGTTCTAGACCAGGCATAGGCAGACTTGGCCCTCCAGATGTTTTGGGACTACAATTCCCATCATCCCCGACCACTGGTCCTGTTAGCTAGGGATGATGGGAGTTGTAGTCCCAAAACATCTGCAGGGCTGAGTTTGCCTCTGCCTGTTCTAGACCCTTCACACATTAGCCATGAGAAATGGGAGGGGCCTGTGCAGAAGTGGGGCAGCTGGGTACACTTACTCCAGGCCTCAGAGGGCTAAATTGGCAGGGGCAACCCGCTAGGGACTGGTGGCATTTTAGTTTGAGTTTATAACTTCATTCTAACAAGGCTCCCACCTCAAACGTCAGACAAACTCTACCCAGGACTGGAAAGGGCACCACATATTTAAAGGGTACTACAGCTGTGCCCCTGATCCAGCCTCCGATGTTGAGTGAAGCTCTGTGCCCCTAGAGGTCACAGGAGATCTCATTGGGCAGGTATACATCCCACCTTTTAGGGTTACTACCAGGACTGAATGGCACTGAATGGAGGCCACAGAGGCAACAAAATGCATCTACGCTACTAGTACTGTAAAACTAGAGCTTTCTTATTCTTCTTAGAGATAATGTTGACATATTTGTTGATCCAAAGCAATTTCCAAATTAGAGCAGGTCAGCTCAAAGTCGCCTACCTTCTTCATGTAAAGGCTGGACAGCTGTGATACCGTGAGGTGACCGAAAAGAAGCCACAGGATATATCCTTTACCCCATTCCATCCAAAAATTCCATTCAAAATCCATGGGATCCTAGGCATAAATCCATCATAAAAATGGGTTTAAAGCATGAGGAGAAGACTGGAAGTACATGGTCACTGCTTGCATTTCGATTTAGGTCACAAACCAGGAGAAACCATGGCTGAAGAAGTTCTGCGCAGGTATCCAACTTAACACACAAGGGCTTTTTCTATCACTGTCCATTGAGTTGTAACTCATTATTTTTAAATTGTAAACCACGTTTGAGTGCATTGGAAGAAAGACAGTATATAAATTTAAGTACTATACTTCCTCCCTCCTTTCTCTCTCTCTCTCTCTCTCTCTCTCTCTTCCTCCCCTGGCAATGTATCCATCACAATCTGTATGGCCACATTCGCTTTCTGAAGGATGCCTGCCAAGAACAATGCCATCCTTTGCACAATGTTGATCAAAAGGAATTTCCAAATTAGAACAGAAAGCAGACGGCAATCACTGTCTGGGTGTCTGTATGAATTCATGCTGCTAAAAGCGTGGCACAGTTTTCAAGTAGGTGCTGAAGGAATTTTTCCTCCCCTTTGCCTTAGCTTGAAGGCTATGAAACAACCACAAAATCTTTAGCGCCGACAAAGCGGCCGTATAACATTTCGCTGTCTGCGGTCCTCGTGAGGGGACAATAGAAAAGCTGTGTGCGGCTAAATTAATACATCGTGCACCACATCCTTCTCTTACAAATATATATGTACACACAATAGGCCTATAGGGGCATACACATATGAACACATCCGTATAAATTAACCCAGTAATATGCTAAGGGATTTGGGTGTCACAGTAGCAATGATGCCTTCAGGAGTCGCTGGCTAAGCTGCCCATCATGAGGGTGGGAAGACTAGGTAGTCACAAAGGTTGCAGGCTGTGCTTTTTTTCTTTAAAAAAAATGTTTAGGGGTACTCTCACTTTCCTACTCATATTGAAATACTGCTCCTCAATGAGGCCAAACTCAGATTCACAAAATGTTTAGGGGTATGCGTACCCCTGCATAGGTAAAGGGTAAAGGGACCCCTGATTATTAGATCCAGTCGTGACCGACTCTCATCTCGCTTTACTGACCGAGGGAGCCGGTGTACAGCTTCCGGGTCATGTGGCCAGCATGACTAAGCCACTTCTGGTGAACCAGAGCAGTGCACGGAAACACCGTTTACCTTCCCACTGGAGCAGTACCTATTTATTTATTTATTTGCACTTTGTGCTTTCGAACTGCTAGGTTGGCAGGAGCAGGGACTGAGGAATGGGAGCTCACCCCTTTGTGGGGATTCGAACCACCAACCTTCTGATTGGCAAGTCCTAGGCTCTGTGGTTTAACCCACAGCACCACCTGCGTCCCACTGCATACTCCCCCCAAAAAGCACTGGTCGTAGGCTTAGCTGCTCTGCTGCCAAGGTTCATTGCTTGCAATTTGCCGAGCTACTCTAATCCTTAAGAATCTCTATCGCCAACTGCTGAGCTCCTCAGAAGCTAGGCAGGGTGGGAACTGTTGCTGAAGCATGAGGAACAGACCCATTCTAGGAAAAGAGCAAGCGGGGGCTGGGTCAGCAGCAAGGCATGGGAAGCAAGGAGGCCTAGGAAGAGAGACTGGGGGGTCGGACGGGGCGGAGAGAAAGAATAGTCAAAAAAAAAATGCTGGGAGGAATAGAAGGCCGATCTGAAAGGGGAAGGAATATTGGATGGTCAGGGAGGCCACCCAGTTGGTGGTGAGATTGGTGGGGCTCACCTGACCTCCTCCTGCTGCCTGTGTCACTTTTTCATCTTGGGAGTAAGATGGGGAGGCGAGGCAGCGCCAAAGTCAGTGCAGTGGAAGCACCAGATTAGTTCTGCGGCTATGTTTGGCCCACTAGCCTTACCCCTCCCTCTGTACTTCCCAGTAAGCCGCAGGGATGAGGAACAAAGCTCCCATGTTGATTTAAAGGAAGCAGTGTGGGGAGGGACCATGGCTCAGTGGTAGAGAACGAACACACAGAGGTCCCAGATTCAATCCCTGGCATCTCCAAGTAGAGCTTCCTGTCTGAAACCCAAGTGATATGCTGCCAGTTAGAGTAGGAAATACTGACCTAGATGGGTCATAACATAAAGGTGACTTCCATGTTTTCAAACCTTTGGCCTAAGTGAAATGCCACCAGTTCCTGGAATTACCGTATTTTTCGCTCTATAAGATGCACCCGACCATAAGTCGCACCTAGTTTTAGAGGAGGAGAACAAGAAAAAAATGTTCTCTCCCTCTCTGCTTAGCGCCTCTCCAGCAAAGCGGGAGGAGAAATGGAAGGGGCTCTGCTTCTCCTGCCACTTCCATTTCTCCTCCCGCTTCGCTGAAGGGGCGCTGCGCAGAGAGGGAAAGCTTTGCAGCGGCTCTCCAGTGAGGCGAAGCCAGGAGAGCAAGAGGGATGCTCTCCTGGCTTCAGCGAAAGCAACGCGAAGCCTCCAGAGCACAGCGGGAGGAGCGCTCCTGCTGCGCTCAGGAGGCTTCAGGAGGCTATCCTTGAAGCCAGGAGAGCAAGAGGGATCCGTGCGCACCGATCCCTCTTGCTCTCCTGGCTTCAGCGAAAGCTGTGAGGCCTGCATTTGCTCCATAAGATGCACATACATTTCCCCTTACTTTTTAGGAGGGGAAAAGTGTGTCTTATAGAGCGAAAAATACGGTATTTATGAACAGACATGGCATATAAGAGGCAAGTAAAAGAAGCCAACTAGTTAAAGCATTCCCTCTCAGAGTATCTGAGCATACTGTCATAGCTCTTTACATTTCCAGGTGCAACAGACCCAGGATAGATGAATATCTCATTAGAATAGGCTTACAAAATGTGTAATCAGGCCAGTCCCATCCCTTATTGCTATTCCTGCAGAAGTTGAGAAGGAATACAGTCAACAGCAGCGATATATTGCAGCAGCCTTCCGCAACCTGGTGCCCTTCAGATGTTTTGGACTACAACTCCCATCGGCTCCAGCTAGCAAGGCCAATGGTCAGGGATTCTGGTAGTTGTAGTCCAACAAAATCTGGAGGGCACCAAGTTGGCAAAGCCTGCATTAAGGCTGGAGATAGGTCAGACCCTTTGTGAAACACTGCTTTGTTTGAGGAGGAATTTCCAGATTTGCTTCAAATTTCACCAGAGGTAGAAATCTAGAGATAACCAAACCCCGTCCCCACTTATTTTCATTATAAAATACAGACAACGCAGCAATCCAATCTTATGCATGTTTACTCAGAAGAACGCTTCACTGAATTCAATGGCAAGTCTGCGTAAAACTGCAGACTAATTCTCTTTTGTCTCCTCTTAAAATTCTGCAGATGTTTCAGCTCTAGAAAAAAGCTACCCAAATTTGTTTCACGTTTTTGCTTTAGACTGAACATAGGTGGCATAACCAGTTAAGGTGAATTGTCAACAATATCTTCATCGTCATGCCAAAAACTTTGGGTAGGCTGGCCTAAACAATAAGGTTTCTTGTTATAGCAGGCATCAAAAACAGGAAAACAAAGATGCCTGCCTAATATTAATAATGATTGTATATACTGAATAATGCTGTGTGGTTTTTTAACTGTTGAGTTTTTAGCGTTTGTTCCAATAAACATGAAAAAGGGGAGAGGAAATCTTGTTGTTGCTTTTCCTAATAGTTTTATTTAGCTCATATGATGACAGTAGTAACAGGTGCTTGCGACATTGACTCCTGAAAGACAAGTGTGCAAGCAAATCTGAATTTGTTTGCACACTAAAGTCCACACAGCTGCACAGATCAGATCTGCAAAGTTTAATGCAGCACTTAGTTCAATTTCTCCGCCAAGCAACACAGGCCATATTAATTGGCAAGCCTAACCATGCCAACCTGACAAGCCATATGGCACAGGATAGCATTGGGGCTCCATCACAATTTGTGCCAAACTGTTCCTTCCTCATCCAGAGCGCAATTTAACACACCAGTCATCAAAGCCAATTACAGTTCACTGAAAGGCAATTCAAACTGCTTATTCCCATGCTTATTCAAATTAAAAGTAATATCTCAGCAATATTCGTTGACCTTACCTTTCTAAATCCTCCAAACAGTGAATCAGTTTCCAGCTCAAATTCTCTATCAAGTTCCTCTTCATACTCTGCCAGGAATAACAGATCATTAAATAAGAAGTTATTATCAGGAAGTAACAGAAGTTGGTTGTTTCTTATAAACAGCTCAACATGTACATCAGTTTCTGTTACGCAACAACTGCAACCTAACACAAATTATTAAACATGAAATCCCACTAAGCCTAGTAGGGCTTATTTCCAAGTAAGCATGTATCCTTTCCTAGTTAAAAAAAAACCCCAAACAAAGCCATGGCTGACTTAGGAGGGCAAAAATCCATCAAGCCGTTTAGGAATAGAATGAAAGAAATGGACTGGGTTTCATCAGGGCTAAAATGCCTGAAGATGAGAAGTTAAGAGCAGGTCTTTCAGGACCCTGGACAGAGTCTAGGAAACACAGGACTTATTTCAATGAACGCATCTTCCCAGCTGAGTCAAGTGCTCCTTGAAACTGTCCACTCCAGCTCCACCCCTTTGCTGAGAATTGTGGAGCCTTAAAGGAGTAGCGCTTTGGAGCAGAATCTAGCACGTTCCAGGCATTCATGCAAGGCACCTGTGCTCAAAGGATGGAGCCTTTGATCCAGTCTCAGGGGGTCCCAGGATCAGTGGGAGCGGTCAGGCCCAATGGCCTGCTCCTCAGACAGCCACCCTGGCACCTCAGCCTCTGTGTCATCGCTGGGTTTCAGGAGCATGGCAACATGTTTAGGCTGAAAACTGAGTTATTACAGATTGTGTTTCTATGTCAGAGGGGGCCAGCTGTCAGATTCAGTCATCACCAGCAACTCCATCTTAGTCACCCACAGCCCTACCAAATTTTAAAGCAAGGTGTGGGGTAGAAAAGCCTTGTGTTGACGTTCCTAGAGGTGAGGATGGGCACAACATTTCATATCCCTGCCACAACCTGACAACTTCCACTTGCTGAAATACTTAGTGCTATTTAAAAGAGTCAAGGAGTCAAAATGCTAACAGGCCAATGATGCCAAGCCTTGGAATAAATAAATAGTGGAAAGGTGCAAAATGAAACCAAGATCTTTCATCAGAAGTGGCCACTCACTGTGTGACCATTAGACTCAGAAAGGAGTAACAATCAGTTTGACCAGGGCTTAAAATTCATTGCACATCTTTTAAAAATAAATAAATGCTATTTTAGTTCTACTGCATAGCATCACAGAAAACCCATGTTTAAAAGCATTGAAGTAAGTGGTTCCTTTCTAACGATGCATGTCTATTTTGGTTTATTGCATTATCACTTAAATTTACACATAAAAGCCAGACTAATTAGATTTTTGTAATATTCAGGAGCATTCATATTCCATCCTTCTACTGTAAAACCAATGTTCAGGGTGGCCCACAGCATACTAGCAATAGTCAAAAAGCATGTGAGCGCTGTGCTAGATAGTCAATGTCTTTAATTTCACAGAATGTGTAACAGTGACCTACTGAATTGATCAGATAGCTTATTCACAGAAAAAGTGACAAATATAGGCAAAAGGAGCATCAATAATAAATGTGAGTGGTAGGTAGCAGTGAAGCAATAGTTGAGAGTTCAGTCTGTAAGGTTATCAAAAGCAGAATTCCCTTCCAACTTGTCCACCCACGGGCTTTCCAATTAATTTTCTCTCTCCCTTGCCTACCCAGCAACTTCTGTTACAGATCCACATCCATTTCCTGGGCTTCCTTCACAGCTTGCTGGTGTTTCAAATAAATGCAGATTTAACCTGAATTTAATCAGTCAATTAATTAATCTGTTAAAAGCCAGATCTGCTAACAATTAACAACAGCCTTAAGACGTGTGTGTGTGTGTGTACGTTGGTATTGCCCTTGCACAACTATTGGCCACTCAGAGCAAAATTTTCAACATGTATAATCCACTGAATATCAAATGCACTCTTGCCCACAATTTATCCCCAACAAAAGCCTGTCAAGTCCTATTTTGGAGTCACACGGAAGAGAGACGGCCTCAGAGGTTCAAACAGTTAACTTTGCTTAGCTGAAGGGGGAAGAAAAAAGCTCTGCGAGTGAGGAGCCAAACGCTTGATTTATCACCTTTGCTTTTCTGAGGGGGATTCTTAATTTCTACCTGAAGAAATTCATCTCTCAACAGAATGAGTTTTTGCTCTCACTTTGTGACACCCAAGATAAATCTCAAGGGAAAGCGTCATCTTCTCTGAGGGATTTTTGCTGCTTCTTTTTCCTTTTTTCCCTGGTCAACCTGCAGACCCTCTGAATCCGGCACCACTGACCTTGCAGAGAGCAACCCCAAAAATGTAGACTAAGAAGTATTTTATTCAATAGATGCAGAACTTTAATGAGTTACTTTGGAGATTATTTAATGGCACGTGAGGCTTTATTGCTGGCTGCCTCCAAAGCATGATTAAAAGGGGCTTCTGCTAGACACAGATAGGGCAGCGCAGGCAGAAATCAAAGGTTTAAAAGAGGAGTGAGGAACCTTTGGCGCTCCAGATACTGCTCAACTACAACTCCCATCAGCCCTAGCACTAATGTGAACATGCCCATAATTCATTTTCAAAGCATCACTTCTCCAACATTATGCTATCAACTGCTAGGGTCAGAACAGCCTGCAGATTAGTGGCAGAAATGAGCATGCACAAATGCCTACTGACAAAGATGGCGCCATGATTGAACTGTACAACAGACACAGATAACTGTATCGACTATTTGTGGGCAGAAGGCAGTGGGGGGCGGGGGGAACAAACTCACAATCAGAGTCATTTGGGGTTCTCAGGTCCATCCTCAGCCTATGGGACACTTAAAGGTAAAGGTACCCCTGCCCGTACGGGCCAGTCTTGACAGACTCTAGGGTTGTGCGCCCATCTCACTCAAGAGGCCGGGGGCCAGCGCTGTCCAGAGACACTTCCGGGTCACGTGGCCAGCATGACATCGCTGCTCTGGCAAGCCAGAGCCGCACACGGAAACGCCGTTTACCTTCCCGCCAGTAAGCGGTCCCTACTTGCACCCGGGGGTGCTTTCGAACTGCTAGGTTGGCAGGCGCTGGGACCGAACGACGGGAGCGCACCCCGCTGCGGGGATTCGAACCGCCGACCTGACGATCGGCAAGCCCTAGGCGCTGAGGCTTTTACCCACAGCGCCACCCGCGTCCCTATGGGACACTTAGGGCAGGCAAAAGAAAGAAACATCAGGGAAATATCAGGCGGATTAGCCATTCTTCTCCCAACTCCTTCTGAGGTTCAAAGTGAGTATTAATAACAACACCAGCAGCAACGTGTGTTTACCACCCTATACCCACAGGTCTCAGGGTGGTTCACAAGATAAAATCACAATATAAGAATGCAAAATACACAATAAAAACAAAAACAAGAAGAACCCAACTATCCCCCACCCTCCTCAGAATCTCCTGTTCTCACTCAGTCTTTTGATCAGGATAACCAGCAAATGTCTGCTCACACTGTCCTTCATGAACGGTGTGTGCTTTGTCCCATCTTATTTTGCATCCCCTGCATAACATTTTCTTCCTGCTTTACTCTGGCAGAGTCTACTGCATGCTCATCCACTTAAAGATGGCTATTTGCTGATTCTAAAGCTGCCTATTAAGTACAGTTATCAAGTCTGCTGCTCAAGATTGCCCTACAGCAGACACACTCTTCAACCCTCTCTACCTGGTCTAGCCTTCCTGCAAATGCCCAATCAGCATCCTCCAATCTCTGGGACCAAAGTGACAAAATGCTGCCCTAGCACTGGAGGCTGGGGAGGACTTGGATCAGCCAAGGGAGGATGTGGCAGTGCCCGAACAAGAGCCTGAGGGTGCAGTCTTGCCACCTAGAGCCAGGTGCCACCTCTGCAGATGGAAGCAGCAGACCAACGTGGCCAGACAGAGACACATTTGCAATCCCATCATTCCTGCAAGGTGAGCAAGTGTCATGAGTGAACATGCCACACCTTGTCTTTAAAAGCTCGGCATGTGCGGTAAGGAAGCCTGTTGGGACATCTTCCTTACTTCTATCCAGTTGTGATCTTACCCTGCTCATGAACCAAGACTTGTGAGCCCTGTATCTGCTGCTGAGTCTGTACCACTACATACTTTACTTCCAAGTAAGAATCTCTCCGCATGTGTCGGGCAGAAACCTGGACACAATGAATGTTTTTTATATAAGCATGTACCTTAAGCAAACCTTGCTTTATTTTTATAGTCATTTTCGGTATATAAAGACAGAATGCAGCACTGAAAAAATGAGTGCAAAAGTTGAAGAATCTATGTCTGCTTGCCCTAATCACAGCATGCAAGATAGGGATTGCATTTCCAACATTTGCAAATACTGTTTTGCTATCTCCCCCTAGTGGGGGAAAAATAAGCATGGCAATTTACTTCGAGTCAAAGTAAAAATGTTTCACCACAAACAAAGGTTGTGTATTCTTTTTATATATACATTAAAATATCTGAGTGAAGCCACATCTGGATGAAGCCATCAAATTGCCAGATTCAGAAAGCTCAACAAGGAAGAGGAACACTTAATATATTGAGCATATACATGAATGATTCACACGCGGAACGCTCATATCTCATGTGCATGTGTGCGAGGGGAGAGGATATCTGGACAAGAGAAGAGCGTTATCCAACCCACTGAAACTGATAGGAACGTAGGTACAGTATATGTGTTTATGGAACAGCAGCAGTTTGCATTGCTAGCCTCATTGGAAATAAAAGGAGAATTACGTTGTTAGTGACTTGTTCCCAATAATGGAAACTGCCTTTAAAAAGAGATCAGTCACCCAACAGAGCTCTTGGCTGGCATCCATCTGCCTCAGGAGACAATGGAGTGTGCCTCCGGGGGTGAAGTCGAACTACGGCATTAGCAGCACCAAAGTGACCTCCCCGGGGTGCAAGTCTAGGCAGTGTGGTTGGGCTGCCCAGACAAGGCCACCACCCTCCATCAGCCTCACTGATGTGGTCCAAAGGAAAGCAGAGTGATACGTTTGGCACCAGCTTGGCTGCAGGAGTTGCCAGAAGGAGGCACCATTCAACTGTCTTAGGGACTCTACTCCCAATTTGTGTAGGGTTTACTCCTTAGACTTTCTTCTCCCAAAGATGTCCCACAAGGCAGTGGAGGTTTAGGATCAGAGTTTTCCTTCTCCTTCCCAAATTGACAAGCATTGTCTGCCCCTCACATCCCTCCACAGCACATGCAGAAACTGCATTCTTGACCATTGGACCCACTATGGGTCTCGTCCGCTCAATCCACCAGAGCCTGTCTTCTGATGCAGGGGAAGTCCCTAACTCACTAAGGGTTTGAGGCCCACTGACTACTCTCACCTGGTTTAGCCGGTCAGGTGAAGCCGTTTCCCAGGGTGTGGCCACAATTGCATGCTGGCAGCTTCTAGGACCAGTTGTGATGTATGGAAGTGAGAGCTGGACCATAAAGAAGGCTGATCGCCAAAGAATTGATGCTTTTGAATTCTGGTGCTGGAGGAGACTCTTGAGAGTCCCATGCAAGAAGATCAAACCTCTCCATTCTTAAGGAAATCAGCCCTGAGTGCTCACTGGAAGGGCAGATCCTGAAGCTGAGGCTCCAATACTTTGGCCACCTCATGAGAAGAGAAGACTCCCTGGAAAGACTGGGGGCACAAGGAGAAGGGGACGACAGAGGACGAGATGGTTGGATAGTGTTCACGAAGCTATCAGCATGAGTTTGACCAAACTGCGGGAGGCAGTGGAAGATAGGAGTGCCTAGCGTGCTCTGGTCCATGGGGTCACGAAGAGTCGGACACGACTAAACGACTAAACAACAACAACAACAACAAAGCTTCTAGGAGTCACCCGCAATTCAGAACAGACAACACGCAAAAAGGCCTGTGACACACTTGAGAATCATGGACACAGCAGCAAGACATGTTCAACAGGAACAGAAACACCACAAGACAAACACCTGTGTCTTCCCCTAAGTACATACTGATGGGTAGGAACTCCACACCCAACTGATAAATTGAGACAGCAAAGCATCCTTCCTTCTGTTCTTAAGCAACATATCCCATTGAGAGGGAGAAAAGGTCCACACTTCCAATAAAAAGTGCTATCAAAGCATTCTCTGACAACTGTGACTTTCAACAGGTATGCATTTTAATGCTATGAGAGAATCAGGGAAAACTGATGTACTTATGCCAGAAGCACGAGGAGGAGAAAGGACTTGTTGGTTGCATTAATTTCAAAGGTGATATCCAGTTGCAGCAGTCCACAGCCATTCTGCAAGCGGGGGACCTTGTTCTTAACATAATGCAATAGCCAAATGCAAAAGCTGTGTTGCCCTTGGGAAAGGTGCTGAGCAACACTGAGCGCAACTGCTGTTATTGCACTCAGTAACACTCTTGTTCTGCAGCTGCCAGCGCAACAGCTATTGTTATGCCTGTGCAATGTCAGCTCTCAAAATTATTGTGCTGAATTATGTTCAATCTCACCCCAAAGCACCAAGTCTGCTTTGAAGACTATTCTTAAAATATATTTATAGAAACCTAACATTCAACAGATATTAGCAAGGTGGGTTCTATGCTCAAGGTGTAAACATTAACATAGATAACGCACACACACTGTGCAACTGAGGCACGCAGAGTACACAAGACCAACCTTTTCACAGTGTGTGCAATTTACCAGTAGAATTCACTGGCACACAATGAGTATAACTATGGATAACTGTGCTGAAGCAACGGCTGCAAAATTACAGTGGTGCCCCGCAAGACAAATGCCTCGCAAGACGAAAAACTCGCTAGACGAAAGGGTTTTCCGTTTTTTGAGCTGCTTCGCAAGACGAATTTCCCTATGGGCTTGCTTCGCAAGACGAAAAAAATTCTGGGTTTGAATTTCTGTGTGGTGGGTGGCTGGGGGAACAGTTGGGGAGGGGTTTGCAAGAATCTGGAAGCTTGTGTTTTTTTTTCTGCATTTTTATGATTTTCTGTGACCATTGGGCCACTCTGCTGTTTTTTTAAAAAAATTCTGGATTTGAATTGCTGTGTGCTGGGTGGCTGGGGGAACAGTTGGGGAGGGGTTTGCAAGAATCTGGAAGCTTGTGTGGTTTTTTTCTGCATTTTTATGATTTTCTGTGACCATTGGGCCACTCTGCTGTTTTTTTTAAAAAAATCTGGGTTTGAATTTTGAAATGCTCTTTACAGTATGTGTGACTTTAAAGAGCACTTAATAAACTCTTGTTGTACCAAATTTGGCTTTGTTTGGACTTTTTTTGACCATAGGAACGCATTAATTGATTTTCAATGCATTCCTATGGGAAACCGTGCTTCGCAAGACGAAAAATTCGCTAGACGAAAAAACTTGCGGAACGAATTAATTTCGTCTTGCGAGGCACCACTGTAATGGGAAACCAGACATCAAACTGGAAATTGACAAAAACAGAAATGATCAACAAGGACTGGGGCAGTCTGCTAGTGTCACATGCTGTTAAATGCTCTTGCTGAAGTAGCAGGAACAGACAACTTCCTCTGAAAATGGAAATGGCTACACACCCATCAGAAACTCACCACTCTGAGTTTCTAATAATCCAATCGCTTTACAGCTAGGAGACCACCCCAACCTCAGACGCACAAGCTGATATCAATGTAGCCCCTAAGGAATGGCCTTCATCTTTTACTTCTTCCTTGGATGGCTCCCTCCTTCCTCACTTTCCATTAAAGGAGTTATCATCCTGAGAGTGGGGTGCATCCCCAAATCCCTCAATACACAGAGCTCTCTGAAACTCTTAGCTTCTGCAAGTAAGCTACCTTGGCCAGAAGGTGCTCAACATGCCTGTCTGCTTAACTATTTACCTGAGCCCTTGTGAAAATACAGTGGTACCTTGGTTCTCAAACTTAATCCATTCCGAAACTGTTCGAACACCAAGGCATGGCTTCTGATTGGCTGCAGGAGGTTCCTGCAGCCAAGTGGAAGCCGCGTCGGACATTCAGCTTCCGAAAAACGTTCACAAACCGGAACACTTACTTCCAGGTTTGTGGCATTCAGGAGCCAAAAAGTACGAGTACCAAGGCGTTCGAGAACCAAGGTACGATTGTACAAATTAACCAAGTGGTAAAGTATGTGATAGGTAATAAAAAAAAGGACTTAACCAGACCAGAAGCTATACACAGTGGCATATTATGATCCAAGTAAACTGTTTTCGTACAAAATGTTAATGCCACTTCTCAAGGCTTAAACCATTAAGCAAATGAATTTAAGTCACAAACATCCATAGCTCTCCATCACGCAAGAAAAATACTCTTGTTAGGAAAATGAAAACAAATTTCCATTGTTACCCATTTGAAAACACATTAGTGGGCTAACCTTCAGATTTACGTCGTCTTTTCCTTTTACAAAGTAAATGTCAACTGACTGCTTCTAGTGGTCCCTGACTAGCTGAAGTACAAACCTTGAATTACACTTTCATTAAAAGGAGATGCACAGCTTGTGTACCTTCCACCTGGCTCCGCTGCCGCTCTCGGCTCACACAAAGGAAGGGTACCCGCAAGCTCCGGGCAAAAAGCCTTTGTAGGGTGCCCTGCTGGGAGCTGTTACAAAGTACTCCATTAAGACATACTATTTAAGTCAATACATTGTGAACTACAAAAGCAAAAAATAATAAGAAGAAGTACCTAACGAGAATGAGCCTGAAATAGAGCATTACCTCGAGAGGCTTGGAAGACTTCGTAAAAGGAATAAAAATGAAAGCCGAAGGAAACGAACAGGTAAAGAGACAGCTCCCATACCGCCAGCAGTCCTAATTGTAACGGCATTTTTCAGGGTTCCCGAAACCTAGGAGGACAACATCCTGGTAGATAGTGCCTGCAAAACAAGAAGATAATTTTATGAATTTTTAAAAGTAGATCCAGAGGAGTCTCCAGGATAGGGCAGAACAACAGTTCTATGTGGAAGACAATATTCATCCAAACTGTCAATCATGAGCAATGGCGACTGCATTATTATAGAACAGTCCAGTTCAGGACCAAATGCACATAGAACATGAGTTACCAGTATGGCACTCACAGCTGTGCATGTTGCCCTCAGAGGCCTTTCCAGGCAACCACAGAGTCCCATCCACCAACCCCTCCCACTGCTGAAAGAAGCCTTCTTCAGCCTCATTGAAGCATGGAGAATGATTTTGAGGGGAGCATGGTGCTACCAGCACGCGATGGCCCTTCCCCTAAAGGAGAGAAGCCTGTTAGCATCTCTGCTGCTGTTTGCACCAGGGAGGTTGGGGTTCATGGGTTCTTTGCTTGTGTCTCAGGGCTTGCAAAGGAGCAAGGTCAGCACTGCAGGCAGGCGCTTCAGCCATTGTTCACCATGAATAGAATCCTGCACTGAAAATGATTTTCAGGTCAGTGTTCTGTAGAACGGAATAATGAACGGACAAGCAGAAAAATGTATCATTCTCAGCGCTGCTTTTCTAGGGAAAAGGTGCCAGAACTCACCACGAACACCTCCCTCTTGCAGTACCAGCAAGTTCTGGCTAAAAAAGGGCCCTGATTCATTCCCATTTTATACCATCCCCCCCTCCCCAAGGACACAAAAGCTGTATGGATATGTTCCCATAAGGGATGGGCTGTAGCTCAGTGGCAGAGCACCTGCCTTGAATGCAAAAGGTCCCAGGTTCAATCCCCAGTATCTCCAGGTAAGGCTGGAGGGAGACCCTGGAAAGCCACTGCCAGTCAGTATAGACCTGGGATGGCCAGGGATGATGGGAGCTGCAGTGCAGCAACATCTGGAGTAGACACTACTGAGCTAGATGAACCACTGGTCTGGCTTGGCGAAAGGGAGATGCCTATGTTATCCCTATGAGTAGTTTCTCTTCCAGGCACTGACCACCTCCAGGCCCAGCTAACTTCACCAAAGTTGCTACATGATACACCTTGAAACTATGCCATTGGAGTCAGGGCAGCAATGGTGGCCAACCATGACAAATTCCATTTGCTACTCTTAAAATCCATGGCTGCTTGGTTTACTACAGCTCTTGCGGGAGCAAGGAGGGAGCAGGTGATGTTCTTTTGCCACACTGCTGCCCTGTGGCATTTTTGGAAAATGATGCAATGGGAAGGGAAAAGGCCATGGGAAGAGACTTTTGTTGCTGTCCCAGCCTCCCTGTTTCCCTACAGGATTAGTTCACCTCCTCAGATATTCCCCAAAATGTTTCTACCTATACAGATTGTTAGTTGTGGGAGGGAGAAGTTAAGCTGGACACTGACCGAGAACACTATTTTATAAATATATATGTCATCCCAGAAAGGTTTGCCAACTTTTCTGTTCAAACCATTCTGGAACCTCAAGTTGAGTAGCTCTGAGCATGTGCAGAGTATCTTCCATCTAAGGAAGGTATCTTCAACCATTACAGAACCAGGACCCACTTTTAACCCAAACATGCATTTGGGGACCCATCTGCTAATCTTTTGCCTTATATTTGCCAGGTGGCAGTGCATTTTGGAGCAGCCTGCAATCCACTAGCGGTGCCAACCCAACAGTTGAAGAAAAGATACAAAAAGCTTTCTAAAAAGTGTACCTAACATCTTCAAACAGAACAAAGTGCTCCTCCTCAAAAAAAAAACCATGGTGTTTTTGAAACCACACTGTAGTAAGGTAAAGGTACCCCTGCCCGTACGGGCCAGTCTTGACAGACTCTAGGGTTGTGCGCTCATCTTACTCTAGAGGCCGGGAGCCGGAGCCGTCCACAGACACTTCCGGGTCACGTGGCCAGTGTGACATCGCTGCTCTGGCGAGCCTGCACCAGCGCAGCACACGGAACGCCGTTTACCTTCCCGCTATAACGCGGTACCTATTTATCTACTTGCACTTAAGGGTGCTTTCGAACTGCTAGGTGGGCAGGAGCTGGGACCGAACTATTCCTGTAGAGGAATAGCTAAAAACACCAACCGCATCAATTCCTTTGGGATTGTTATCATTTTCTGACAACTAGGAATGAGAGTGAAATTCTGGCCAGTTGATAAACCTAATCTCAGATCCGCAAGACTGGAAGCCACTCAGCAGGCACTCAGGAGCCTTATCAAAATTTTGCACCGTACTGTATTACAGGAAAGTCCACTTTTTTTGGGGGGGGGGGGTTGCACAACAACCTTACAGCGCAAACTTAAGCCTCACTTGAGTTCAACGCTACTTATTCCCAAGTAAGTATGTAATATAATTGCGGCCCCACACGTTTATTTTAGCCGGGACTTTTGTGGCTCGGGCGCGCCTGCTCGGACCTCTAGGTGCTGAACTGTGCTTGCAGGACTCCTCTGCCCATGCCCAGAGGCAACATGTCCTTGCGCATCTTTGCGCGCGCAACCTTCCTGCGACCGTCAAGCGGAGCTCCGGGGCAGGACGCTTTCGGAGTCCCCTCCCGCTCCCAGGGTCCTCAGACAAAGTTTTCCGCCACAGGAATTTCCTTCCCGCTTGGAAGAAGCATGCATTGGTCTTCTGCGCCCGGGGCGAGACGCTCCTCAACTTGCTCGGCGCCTCCCTCCCGCCCAACTCCCGGCGCAGGGGGCGGACCTCCACTCCCCGCCTTGACGGTTGGTAGCAACGAATGGCTCGCGGAGCTGCGCGGAACAAATCAAAAGCACCGACCTGCGGCGGAGCGCGGCTCCATGCGCGGCCCGGGCGTCCCTCCCCGTTTCCGGCTCCGGCCCCGGCCAGGCGCGCACTCGCTCCGCCCCTTCTGCGGAGAGCGATGGGACGCGCGCGGTCTGGGCCCGGTGCGCGTGGCTTGCAACATTCAGGATCAGCTTGCGAGACCATGGAGCTGTTTACTCGAGTGTAAGCCTCGCGGAGCGCAATAGGGTGGGTTGGTTTCCTTCCTTCCTTCCCTGCGCACAGATCAACTTTGGAATGACGAGGCAAGCTGACCTTTTTGCGAGCTTTTCTTTAGCAGGCTGGTGTGTTTTTTTAATGAAACGGGGAAGAAGCTAAAAGCTGGCTGCAGCAAATTTATATTTTAAAAAATGGATCCTCCAAGATGCCCCTACAAGGCCAGCATCAGATCACAGTTCCGGCGTTTTCCAGTGCCACCGTGGCACGAAAATAGGGATCTGCAGCTTGCATAGTTTTTGCACGGGAGCCCCCTGAAATGCGTGTCAAAAACACACTTCTCATCTAGCCCGGTGGACTGGATCTTACAAATATGGATCTGAATCTGATTTGATAGTGATTTGGGTGGTGCCCTATGTAAACATGCAGTTTCAGTAAGATCTCGTTTTATTTGCTGGAACCAGCTTTTACCCGTGTCCATAAAGCTTGTTTTCTCTCTCTTCCATCCTTCCCCTGAAAAATCCCACACGCAGACGTCGCTCATCATCTAGCCCAATATTTTTTCGGTATATAAATGTCTTAAATAAAATAAATACATCAAGTCTGGGAGAGGGGTGGTTTTGGTTTAAGAAGCACCACATTAAAATGTGAGGTGCATCTGTCCCCATCATTATTGACTTTCATGAGCAATTTTAAAACGTTCCTGTTTACCCAGTTATTTGATGACTGAAGAGCACTGTGCCTGACAACCCTAAGATCACTGGATGAGAAAATGGTTTTAGAATGTTTTAACTCTTGGGAAAGCTTTTTTAAAAAAATAAAAGAATCATTTTGTTGTGGAAATGTTTGCTACCCTGGGTTCTTTCGGGAGGCAGGGTGGGATATTAATTAAATAAATATAACATGCAATAAAAACAAAATTCTTCCCCATTCCTAGTGACCAAGCAGCTCAGGGTGTCTGAATCTTGGGGGGGGGGGGAGATGCAAGAGTTTCTTCCCTTCTTCTATAACCCCACTGTGGGGACACCAGAAACCTTAGCTGGGACAAACATAAGCAAACACTGACAAACATGAGGTACCAATAGTTACCCTGGTATTTGTTTTAGTAAAATAGCACAACTGCTACAGCAGGGGTCAGCAAACTTTTTTCCGCAGGGGGCTGGTCCACTGTCCCTCAGACCTTGTGGGGGGGCCAGACTATATTGGCGGGGGGAGTGAACGAATTCCTATGCCCCACAAATAACCCAGAGATGCATTTTAAATAAAAAGGACACATTCTACTCATGTCAAAAACACACCGATTCCCAGACCTTCTGCAGGCCGGATTGAGAAGGTGATTGGACCAGATCCAGCCCCCTGGGCCTTAGTTTGCCTACCCATATGCTAGAGAGCCAGAACAGCCACCAAATGATATATACAGTAACTTCTATTGTGCTGCATTTTCCTTTACTTAGAAGAGGACGGCAGTTATTGAACAAGGAGCCCACTGGATGGCAGCAGACTACAATGAGTGTTATGTGCAAAAGTCCTGCTCTTTCCCAGATTAAGCAGCGCTGCTGTAATAACAGGGACACGCCGTCAGCTGATATGTTTGGGAAGGAATCGCTGGGAGGGAAAACCATGCATATTTATTATACTGATGTCAGCCACCATTCTGCTATAGGTAAAAAGGCACTGTCAAGTTAAGTAGGTCAGTACATTGATCAACCCTGACAGTGATCGCATCTGGAAGAGCTTACTGTCTTGGTCTCTCAAGGTGGAATACGTCTCCCGTCTCTGCTCAGCCTGGGTTCACACACACCCCCCTCGCCCCTCTGGAAGAAAGAGAAAACAAGTGACAAAGTTTCCTGGAGCCTTCGTTTATTAGGCTACCTCTAAGTCAGTTTGCATACATCATGCCATGTCTCTCTCTCTCTCTCTCTCTCTCTCTCTCTCTCACACACACACACACACACACACACACACACATTTTTCCATGCATCCAAGCTGCAGCATTTTCATTTGGGCAAATGCAGTGCTTCTCCCACAGGGATGCTTTGAGGCATTTGTCCTTTGCAAATTGTGATTATGAACTGACCTGATCCGAATCTCCTCAGGCTAAGGTGTGAACCGGAATGCCATTGTCCTTCAGATTTCACACTTGGGGTGTGGTTCCTGACTCAAAAAAACAACAACACAAAAGGTACAAATATGTTCACAAGCATGCATATTTTAGGACAAAGTATGTTCAGCAATGCAAATTGAGCGAGAAAATACTTTCTCAAGAATACATATTTAAATCTGAATTTTAATACTAGCAGTTTTTATTTAAAAATGCAGATTAATGGAGAAACAAGATGGAACAGATTTCTGACTGGACAGATATGAAACTGACATGGACCAGAAATAAATGGAGCCACTGCTTTTTTCAGGGGGTACTCAGGTACGCCAGTAACTGCACCTCTTTTTTGTTGTTGTTAAAAAGTGTGGCACTTACTGTAACAACTCCATGGTGGAGTACCGGCACCAATTTTTCTAGAAAAAAAAAGCACTGAACAGAGCCATCCATTTCCTACACCCGGAGACTGCATGTATTGCTATTAGAGGCTTGTAGTCCAAGATGTGTCTGACTATTTCAAATCAATATGCAACAGGAGCCTTTTATTATGTCCAAAATTCTTGGTTATGTACAGGCTTTTCTGTACTTACTATCTCTTTCAGCTACTTTTGATTTATTTGGCTTCCTCCTCCCTCCCTTTTCCGCCTGCTATCTCTAGGTCAGGGCTGAGGCTTTTCCTGGACTACAACTTTAAGACCTGTATGAAATGCAGGAATTCAACACAAGAAGTTTTTTCTGGGCAACAGAAACACAGCAATAGGGAACGCCTCAAGGGATGGTTTTTCTGCCTGTTAATGCTTCAAAGGTGTAGAGCCCTGCAAGTGCGGTGGGTGGGAATCCGACAAATCAAAAACATACCTGCACATAGGCGAATATTGCAGAGAAACTAGAAAAACTAGTTCTGTCTATATCTGTAAGCGAATTGTGTATTTTTAGTAACTTATAGAGTAAGAGCATTGTTGTTACTCGTGAGAAACTAGGCAGGGGGAATGAAGTGGGGAAGGGCGTTCCTCCTCCCCCCCCCCCCACTTTAAACTCTGCTCAGAATCTTGAAAATCGCTAAAGAACAAGTTAAAGGTGGGAGAAAAGAACATAAAAAAGGTGTGGTATTTGCCGAAAGAGCCAAGTGAGCGATTTCAACAGCCAAGTTAAATATGATGCAGTCAAGGCTGACATGCACTTCCTTTCAGAGCTCCCAAGTGTAGGGCTGTGAATTCCGAGAGGAAAATACGCAACCTCGTCCCACTCTGCGCCTCCCCAGCCAACCATTCCTTGTTTGCCTTGGCCGAGTCTGGGGCTAACCTTTCACTCACTGGTCTGGTTTCGAGGACAATTGCCTCTCTGCAACGGGTATCATTCTCCAGCTCTCAGCTTGGTTGCCTGTGAATGGAGCATTTATTTTCATTGACTCACAGGACTGAACGGATGCCGAGAATATATTTGAGGACTTCTACAAACGAGTGGAAAAGCACACAGCCTTTTACCGGGCACAGAACCCACTGGCCTGCCTTCTCTTTCAAGCCAGCAGTGTTCCTCCTCTTTTGCAGCAGAGGAGCTAATGCAGAGCTCGGGGATGGGTGGGTAATGTAAGCTGGGTAAGGGTCTTATTACGTGCAGGGCTCCCGAGGATTTAGAAAATGAGCTGAAGACAAAAGTGAAACATCTGGTTAGCATCATTGTGTAGCTGAGCAGCTGATTTGGGGAGGCTTGCTAGAAACCGTGGCTGTTTCATCTTACATGTAATCAGGCTGCACAAAGGACTCTGAAAATATATGGATCTGAACATCTGGGGCTGTTTTCCTTGCGCTGCTCCCTTCCCTAGCAAAAACCCATTTTGTCTTTCATTAAAGGGGAGCTGACTGTTCACGAGACATAGGAACCTGCCTTCTACCAGGCTAGACTATAATTGCCCATCCAGTCCAGTATGGTCAGGGGTCAGCAAACTTACCGCGCCTCGGCCGGTGTCTCCAGCGCCAATCACGCAGTGGGCCGGAGGGCGGGGGAGCACGTGCCCATATGTGTGTGCACACTCTATTTCCGGCGCACTTCAGGGTCGGAGGAGCACCGAAAATAGCTTGTGCGCGTGTGCACGGGCCTCCTCCCAACCCAGATGTGCACTGAAAATAACGCTTGCACATGCACAAATGACGCTTGCGCATGCGCACAAGCTATTTCCGGTGCTCCTCCGACCTGGGAATGGGGCAGCCACGCAGTGCAGTGCCAGTATGAGTGGGCGGCGGCAGCAGGCGGCGGGGGTCACCGCGGGCCGGATAAACGAGTCCCTCGGGCCTTATCTGGCCTGTGGGCCTTAGTTTGGGGGACCCCTGGTCTATCCTGACTGGCAGTGGCTTGCTCTCCTGGGTATCAGGCAGTCCTGGATAGCTCAGTCAGTAGAGCACGAGACTCTTAATCTCAGGGTCGTGGGTTCAAGCCCCACATTGGGTGAAAGATTCCTGCATTGCAGGGGGTTGGAGTAGATGACCCCCGTGGTCCCTTCCAACTCTACAATTCTATGACTTTCCCATCTCCTGCTACCCAGTCCTATTGTTTAACTGGAGATGTCCAGACTGAATCCAGGGCCTTCTGCAAAGCATGTCCTCTGCTTCTGAGCTATGGTCCTTTCTTCTTTAGTCCACAGCAAAAAGTAAAGATGTCCATAAATT